GTGTGTCTAATACTTGGCTTCTGTGCCAAAAACATGCCCAGTTTTTTTCGGGTGTTCCTACTTTCTGGTTGATTGCTACAGATTAGAGTTCCGTTCGCGCAGGGAAACTATTGTTTGGTTCGTGGACTAACAAAGTGTTATTATTCCAACGTACTTTCAAAATTATGTAAAGATGTGTCTGCACCAGAGTAACTGACACGAAAACAGTGGTACAGTGCAAATGAAAAACAATGTCACAAGAATTTAAAAATACTACTGGTGAACGTACAGTCACTGTTCGGCCAGTCAAAGTTGTAATTTGCCTTTCCGTGGACGTAATACTGAAGGTTTTCAGCATCCTAACATCCCCAGAGCCACTTGCGTCGATAAAATCAATAATCTTTGGTTTTCCATTCGAGGTTACCTACGAGATCAGAATGAAGTAGTTTTAAATGATTCCTACCTGCAATCCTTTGGCAGTCGGATCCACACCAGTATCCCAGATGGCGATTATAGTTCCCCTTCCATCGTATGTAGGGAATTTTTCGAGGAATTCAAGGGCTCCAATCTCCTTTTTGGGAATCATTGTCTGTTTGGCTTCCGGAAAGGCCATTGTTCTTGAGGAAAGTGGACGCTGAAGCTTCACGCACAGATAGGCACGAAGATTAATGAGGAAATACGGTAGGGGAAGACAAGCAATTAGGCTATTTTGACATTTAAGGACAACTATTAATTGATGGAAGGACATCGGGTAGACAACATAGTAAAATAGAGCTCCACAGTCAAATAGAATTGAGGTAAACAAAGTAAGTGTGATCGACATGTAAAGAACATGTAAGCTGTCAGAAAAGATGAAGCACCGAAAATATCTGGACATATTTCTGGCTGCTTACATGCATATTCATCAAAATACAAAAAGGAAGGAAAGTGTAGAGAAAAGCACGATAACATAAAGTGCTGGCTTCATGAAGTTAACAGATTATCTTACTACAGTAGTCGCCGGTTATTAAGCCCACATCAGGCCCAGACCAAATTGGG